TCCCATCACTCTGGTACAAGTTGATCTTGGTCTCATCTGTCCATAGGATGTTGTTCCAGAACTGTGAAGGCTTTTTTAGATGTGGTTTGACAAACTCTAATCTGGCCTTCCTGTTTTTGAGGCTCACCAATGGTTTACATCTTGTGTTGAACCCTCTGTATTCACTCTGGTGAAGTCTTCTCTTGATTGTTGACTTTGACACACATACACCTACCTCCTGGAGAGTGTTCTTGATCTGGCCAACTGTTGTGAAGGGTGTTTTCTTCACCAGGGAAAGAATTCTTCGGTCATCCACCACAGTTGTTTTCCGTGGTCTTCCGAATCTCTTGGTGTTGCTGAGCTCACCGGTGCGTTCCTTCTTTTTAAGAATGTTCCAAACAGTTGTTTTGGCCACGCCTAATGTTTTTGCTATCTCTCTGATGGGTTTGTTTTGTTTTTTTCAGCCTAATGATGGCTTGCTTCACTGATAGTGACAGCTCTTTTGATCTCATCTTGAGAGTTGACAGCAACAGATTCCAATTGCAAATAGCACACTTGAAATGAACTCTGGACTGGACCTTTTATTTGTTCATTGTAATTGGGATAATGAGGGAATAACACACACCTGACCATGGAACAGCTGAGAAGCCAATTGTCCCATTACTTTTGGTCCCTTAACAAGTGGCAGGCACATATGCAAACTGCTGTAATTCCTACACTGTTCACCTGATTTGGATGTAAATACCCTCAAATTAAAGCTGACAGTCTGCAGTTAAAGCACATCTTGTTCGTTTCATTTCAAATCCATTGTGGTGGTGTATAGAGCCAAAAATGTTAGAATTGTGTCGATGTCCCAATATTTATGGACCTGACTGTACATACACATACTAGGGACAATTTAGACAGGAGCCAATTAACCTTCCAGCATATCTTTTGGAGTGTGGGAGGAAACCGGAGTACCCGGAGGAAACCCACGCAGGCACAGGGAGAACATGCAAACTCCAGGCAGGTGATGCCGTGGCTGGGATTCGCACCAACGACCTTAGTACTGCCAGGTGGAAGTGCTAACCACTTAGCCACTGTGCTGCCCATGGGGATAACGCATGTGTGAAACCTTTTCACTGTTTGGACTAATTATGTACCAGACTTTGTATCTTGTGTACCACATAAATCAACCAATTGTATCAAAACCAATGCACTATAATGGTTACCTCTACTGTATATGAGTGGCCAGCAAATATAGCTTAGTGCATCACCTTTAGCAGTTCCTGTTTCTATAAGCCAAACAAACCTAGCCTACTAGTATGTGGCTACCCCCAGGAATTCCATGTTTATTGGCCAGGACGTTCAGGAGGCTGAAGATATAAAGAACAAAAAAGTTCCTGTGGTTCCAGGAGTGCAGTTGTCCACCGGGGATGGCTGGGACTGGTGTCTCACAGGCACATAGTCAGACATGCAGATGGATCAGTTCAGGCGGCAGACAAAGAGATGGTCAGCAAACAGGAAAAGGAATGGTCTAGACAGCGGGCAATAACTTGGTCAACAAACAGGTCAGGGTCAGCACAGACAACAGACAGAGGCAACACTAAGGTGATATGGTAGCGATCAGGAACACTGTTGCTGGCTGCACTAGTCTGGTGACAATGAGATTTGTGTAGCGGCAAGAACACTGTTGTTGGCCTACACTGGTCTTACACTGGATGTACACAGGTATGTCTTTCCAGAACAACACTTTTCCCTAAGCCAAGTTAAATGTAAAAGTTAAAACATTAATTACACATCCAAAATATTTGATGTCAGAATACAGTGCACTGACGCTGTTCATGAGACTTGCACTGTTCTATAACACAACCTGCAGTTTTTTTCCATATTGTCCAAAAGTCACATTAAAAGGATCCTTCCCCTGGTTCAGGTAATTAAAAAATGTTTTTATGTACATTAAATGCACGGTATAGCAGCACCTAGCTTGCCTTTTAGCCTTGAAAATGCCCAGAATGTATTATCATGATTTGGCCTCATAGATTTCTATGGGATTTGCAGTTAAGTTCAGGTTTTGTGAATTTCAAACAGGATTTGATGAATCCCCTGCAAATTGTACCTGGGCAGATTAGTCCATGCCTAGTCAAAATAAATCACTCACCTCTAAGAAGATGAGCTAGCTGACGAGTAACGAGTTCGGGTGCTTCCTCCAGAATCTCTCTTGCAGCTAAGGCAGAAGATGAGTCATGGATCTCTTGATCACCATCAAATCTCTTTCCTGGATTGATGACTTTCACAACTGATGATGCCAAACTTTCATCTTCACTGTCAATTAGAAGAAAGATATCTTAAAGCAAAATCATTAGTTATTTTAGAATGTTAGACATACATTTTGTAAAATAGATAGATAATATGTTCTGGAAAACAATCATGTAAAATATTATTAGCACCTATGTTTCTTCTCTTTAACTTATCTATACTCAACCTCATCCCAGTACTTATCCCTATCCCTTTTTCTAGACTTAAGCATTAACCCACTGAAATTAATCTTTAACAATTAACTTAACCACTAGCACTTGATTTAAGCCCCTAACTTAAACCTGAAATTTAACTGACCCTGGAGCACTTAACAAAATTCTCTCCTATGTTTTTTTTCCTTATAGCCCAACTTCAACCAAAACTTTAATTTAATTTTGAGAATTTAGAAATTTTTATTTTTTAAAAGGGAAAGGTTGGAACCTGTGTCTGTGTATCTGTTGGGAAGATGTATTCCTTACTTTCTCTAAGCACAGGAAGTGATGGTATTTTTTTTTCATTAGGAATACCAATCAGAACAAAGGGCTAAAGCTCCTCGCAATGTTCCTACTGCTGTTATTGCCCTGTGATGCCTGTAGTAGAAATAAGGAATGCAGGCATCACCATGAGGGAAAGTCACCCCAATCGGGTCACAGACAGAAGTAAAAGCCTAACAGAAATTTTAACTTTTACCTATTGTATCCAAAACAAAAAAAATGTCTGTAGTTAGATTTTAATTTACCAATAAGGTAAACCCTTATTACTTAACATGACTACTAACCTTCAAATTTATACTCAAAGTTCAACGTTTAGCACAAAGAAAAAAGTTCTCTCCTAATACCAACTTTGCACCATAGTCACAGGGTTTCTTTAACCTAATCAAAAATGTAAGATTACCACAAAAATATAGGCGGGGTAGCATAATATTGAGCTCAAAGAACGCACCTTATTTAGAAGGTGAGGGTGTTACCTAACTAAAATAAGAAACCAAAGAAGTTGTAGTTCCATGATGCAAACTACCAACGTAGGTAATAAACACCCATGCAATTTGGCTCATATGTAAAACCACATATTTTTATTAATCCCAATATCTAGGGATATCATCTTTTTCTCCAGAAATGGGATTAATGAGATTAATAAAAATATGTGGTTTTACATATGAGCTAAATTGCATGGGTGGTTATTACCTACTTTGGTTGTTTGTGTCATGCAACTGCAACTTCTTTGGTTTCTTTAACCTAACCTTAACCATTGACCCAATATTCTGAATCTTAACACTTAACCAAACAGTAATTTTAATGCTGAAAAACCCATCCTCACCAATAGAATCCTGTTCTGAATCCGTGCCAAGATTTACAGTCCGGACATCTAAAGAAATATTATTCTCTCATTCTTTTAGATCTCACAGAAAATGGTCTTGCCTTGTCTTAGGTCCAGCGTAAACTGTCAGACTTCAGGTGACCTCTGACCCCCTGAATCTTTAGGTAAAATATCAGGCTCAGATAAAGTAAAAACACTAAGTAAGTTGGCAAAAAGCATCTAATAACTAATTCTGCACATTGCAGGTGTAGTATATTGTTTTCACTGTTTTAGATTACCAGTTTCTTTTAAAATGTCCTAAAAATTAAAGGAAGCAACTGATTGGTGGATATGTGCAAACCTCAGATTAGCAGCTAAAGCAATTCTTAGATACACTGAAGCTTATTTACTAAAGCAATACATTGTGCAAAAATTAACTTTGTTTATCCAATCATGTAAAAAGCAGATCCCAGTTTAGGTCATTATTTCATTTGCACATGAATGGATCATTTAAGTGAATATTCACACATTCTAAACCTTGTGTATCAGTGCATCTATTTTATATAAATTAAAGCTCAGTTAAAGTCATAGAAATACATATTAAGAATAACAACCCTCATTTTCATCATCTTATCTATTTTCCCATTATAGTGGCTGCACAGTGTATCTAAATGTGATTGCACAGTTCAGTAGCCAGCAGAGCTTGATCATGTTGTCTTGTACTCTTGTACCCTACTGACCTGGTCAGGCACGCCCCCTCTTTTCTCTGCAGTACAAATCTGTGTAAAAACTCTTGTGAAGATGAGATTGGATGTGCTTCATCAGCTATGCAAGCATGGAACACTTGTGGGACAGCATATCAACTAAGGGAAAAAAGTGAATAGACGCTAAAAAAAATGACAAGCACTATATTGCCAAAAGTATTGGGACGCCTGCCTTTACATACACATGAACTTTAATGGCATCCCAGTCTTAGTCCGTAGGGTTCAATCTTGAGTTGACCCACCCTTTGCAGCTCTAACAGCTTCAACTCTTCTGTGAAGGCTGTCCACAAGGCGTGTGTCTATGGGAATGTTTGACCATTCTTCCAAAAGTGCATTTGTGAGGTCAGGCACTGATGTCGGATGAGAAGGCCTGGCTTGCAGTCTCCACTCTAATTCATCCCAAAGGTGTTCTATCAGGTTGAGGTCAGGACTCTGTGCAGGCCAGTCAAGTTCCTCCACCCCAAACTTGCTCATCCATGTCTTTATGAACTTTGCTTTGTGCACTGGTGCACAGTCATATTGGAACAGGAAGGGGCCATTGCCAAACTGTTCCCACAAAATTGGGAGCATGAAATTGTCCAGAATGTCTTGGTATGCTGACACCTTAAGAGTCCCCTTCACTGGAACTAAGGGGTCAAGCACAACCCCTGAAAAATAGCCCCACACCATAACCTCCCCTCCACCAGACTTTACACTTGGCACATTGCAGTCAGGCAAGTACCCTTCTCCTGGCAACTGACAAACCCAGACACATCCATTGGATTTCCAGACAGAGAAGCTTGATTCGTTACTCCAGAGAACACATCTCCACTGCACTAGAGTCCAGTGGTGGCGTGCTTTACACCACTGCATCTGATGCTTTGCATTGCTCTTGGTGATGTAAAGCTTGGATGCAGCTGCTCGGCCCATCCATTGAAGCTCTCTATGCACTGTTATTGTGCTAATCTGAAGGGCACACAAAGTTTGGAAATCTTTATCTATTGACTCTGCAGACAGTTGGCGACTTCTGCGCACTGTGCAATTCAGCATATGCTGACCCTGCTCTGTCATTTTATGTGGCCTACCACTTCGTGGCTGAGTTGTTGTTGTTGTTCCCAGTTGCTTCCACTTTGTTATAATACCACTAACAGTTGACCGTGAAATATTTAGTAGCAAGGAAATTGCTTGAATTGGACTTGGCAACCTATCACAGTACCTTGAATTCACTGAGCTCCTGAGAGCAGCCCATTCTTTCACAAATGTTTGTAGAAGCACTCTGCATTGCCTAGGTGCTTGATTTTATACACCTGTGGCCATGGAGGTGCTTCAAACACCTGAATCTAATGATTTGGAGGGGTGTCCCAATACTTTTGGCAATATAGTGTATGTTGCTACAAGATTCTAAAGATAAAAAAACTTCAACTGAGCTTTAATAAAGGTAAATATATTGCTAGATTTTGCTTTAACCATTATCTACAATTATCAAGGCATAAATATGATGTTATTTGGAAAATTTAAATAATTAAAAGGCAGCTGACATTTATTCAAATTGTATTTTTTTTCCAGGTTGCATATATAATACCTGGTGAAGGCACTGAAGTTAATAAGTGTCACTGACAACTTTTCCTCCTCATTCAGCCTGTGCAGGTTGATTTCATCTTTGAAGATGAGGTATGATTCAGGAATATCCAGCTCCTCCAATATAAATCGAGTTTCGCTGTAGAAGCTGAATTCAACCCTCGTAACATTTAAAACAGGCAGACAAAGAACACTTGGTGATGTAATCTAAAGGGATGAATTTAAATATCAATGTTTGCATCAAGAACTGGAATACTGAGTAAAACATAGTAGTATCAAATCAACAGTCAACATATTTGTACATATATCTTGCCTAAGATAGTTTTAAAAGCTTACATTAAGAAAATTCCAAAAACCAAATGCCAACAAATTGTACGTTTTGCAATTGTTATTGTCTTTGTTTGAATGTATAAAGAACTCGAACATACAGTATAGTGGTTTACTAAAAGATTAGAAAATGTTCTTAATGATTAAGAAGCTATTTTTTTCTTGGATACCCAATCACATGCAAGAGAAATAAAAAAAGAGGATTTTTGTTAGCATATGATTGTAATTTAACTATTCCATGATTAAAGGATAAGTTTACTTTTCATAACATGTTACATGGTACACCAATATCCAGGGTGTAACATGTAACCTGTTACTAAATGAGCAGCCCCCCGCACCCTCTTCAAGTCCCCATTGTGACAGCAGGCCAGGGATCCCCTCCATGCACCCACTGTCACAATTTTAAAAAAGCGTTCTGTGAATGGGAGAACTACAACTACCATCATCCATTGTGTCTGACAGCTTGTATTTCTCAATGATCTACCAGGGAACTGAGGAGAACTCTACATTGCAGCTGTTTTTTTTATTGCTATGATTTTGTTTTTTGGATGTTTTTGAAACATGTAATTTTTTTCTTTTTTCTTTTTTTTTTCTGTTTTGTTTGTGATGTGTCTTATGTATCTTTGGATAAGGAAAAATATTTTCAATCTAAATTAATACATAAAAAAAGTTTCCTTTGCCCAAATCCAGGCCTGAAGCAAATCTTTTATCACATTGTAATTTACCAGATGTTGTGCTGGCCAAAAGCAGGCCCAGACTGAGACAAAAAATAGGACCGGGCATTTTAGACTGAGCAGCCTATTTTTTTTAACTAAATTACAAATAATGACAGCTACTGGTTTTTGAATTTTTTTTTGTCATATTTAGCCTTCTCCAGAGTTGATCCATTGAGTGCCCTCATTTCATGTCTCAGCATAAATCCCTCCCCCTCAAAAAAAAAAAAATACAGTACTGATCAGCACGCTCACCCCTTTAGCATAAATTCCCTCTGCAAGCCAAAATTCTCCCCCAAGAATGCAATAATTCCCCCTCCTGCCAGTGCAAATACCCCCTCTCAGCACAAATCTTTGCTACTCAATCCAACCTCCAAGCTCAAATACCCACAATTCCCACTGCACAAATCTCCCCCACCCAAAAGAATCACCCCTCCTATTTCGCTTAGGCAAGAAATACAGAACTGCTGCTTTAGAGCACAAATTAAGTACATTTTAAAATAAAAATAATGTTCATTCATAAGACAAGGAGGAAGAGAAGGCAGGGCAGCGCAAGATGACTGCAATCAGAGGCAGACTGACCATTTGGAAACTCGGGCACTGCCCGAGGGCCCGGGGTCAGTAGGGGGCCTCATGAGATGCCCCTGGTACCTTTTTCATAGCCTTTTTTGAGTTTGGGCAAGGACACAGGGGCCCCATGATCTCCTATTGCCCGGGGGCCCCATGAGTTGTCAGTCTGCCCCTGACTACAATAAAAAGCGGTACAAGGGACTTGAAATTTACAACATGAAAATGTTTCTTCTTTTATAAACATTTCAATCTAAACCAAGATATTTCAAATATAAACAGCATGACAAAACTTGCACCCCAAGATGGATAGAATAAACATAACACAACATTTGGGGTCAGTTACTGAATTGCTTGTAAAAGGGTCATAATTGACCCAAAACATGGCATTTTGTGTATTCTGTGTATCTTGTGATGAAGTACAATCTTTGTTATGCTGTTTATATTTGAACTATCTTCGATGAACTGAATAGATTAATAAAGAAGAATCTTTGGGGGGATTGAAATTTGAAGTCTCTTCTTCAGATCTTTACTGTGGGATATAAGTGTCCTAAACGGTCTCTTGAATAATCTCTGGTTACATAGTTACATGGTTGGTAAGGTAGAATAAACACTGGTCTGTGCATTTATGTCACTAACATTTTCCATATCCATTTTCCTCTACATTGTGTTCCCTAAGAAACACATCTAAAAGTTTTTCTTTGCTCCCAAGTGCATTACTTTATATTTTTCAATATTAAACTTCATCTGCATATAGCTGGCCACCCTTCTAATTTAACTAGGTCTTGTGGCTCTAATAATAAAACGTGCCTCATTTTATCTTTTGCAGTTTAAAGACACCACTATCATTAAACGATATATGAGCAATGATGAGCTATAACCCTTGACAACCATAATGAAATCAACTTTCATCAGTCTGAAAAGTTTCTACATTTATTATGGGCAATTAACAGTCTTTGAGGTATGTAATTTTTTGACAAGTTAATTTTATGTTTTACTGGACAACAAACTTTTTCAGAAGTTTTGCTTCCTGAAAAACATTTAGTGATTATGATAGACCTCTTCAAACTGAACACAAATATAATTTCAGAATGACTATATTACGTAGGAAGCTTGATAAATATGAAATTAACTTTTAGTGACTATAATGTATTTAATTGCATAATGTTTCTTACATGATACATGAATTCAACAGGGCTAACAGTGCTTTTCTGCTGATTTTCATTTGTAATCAGTATCTGGTGCATCTTACTGCAGTGTCCAACATTATTGGGTTCATGTGCCCTTGCCGATACCATTTTTCCATTGTGGCAGTGCCCTAGCGAAACCTTACACCATGTTCGCTACTGACTGCACCTAGACTTTTGGGAAAGAAATCCAAATGCAAATTCAGAAAATTAATCTTCAGTGACATGTTGCACTTCGTTGTCTCGCATGCTGTAAGAAGTTTGTCAACCAACCAAATGTAAATTGGTGCTCTATAGTTGCCAAATTCTCAATGACATCTTTGAATGTTTTCCAGCTGGCCCCACTAACAGATCTTCAACCCGCTTGTCAGTGATGATGTACCTGATTTGTGGACCAACAAAAAAGCGTTCCTTAATCTTGGCATCAGTTGTTCTTGGAAACATCTATCTCAAATATTGGAAACCTTTCTCCTTCACCTTCCTTTTTATGTGAAGCAGGGACAAAAATATATTTGTCAAATCAACAAGTGGTTCATGTGCCACAGTTTTCTGTCCTAGTGACAGATTCTGTCAGAGTGGCCATTAGTTTTTAATGTAATGCAACTCTTTTGCACAGCTATCCTATTTGTGACAACAGTACTTGGCATATCCAAACTGCATTCCAAACAGCGAAGCCACTACTGTTAGATCTCCACAAACATTTCAGTTGTACTTGGTGTTCCGGAAGTGCTTCAACAACAGTTCCATGTTTTTGTATGTTTCATCCATGTGTGCAGCATAGTATTGTAAGTTGCAAAAACAGAAGATTTCTGTAAAATGGTATATGATAAGTTAACTACAGGTTTTTTTCAAGATTAGCAGCCAAAAATCTTTAAGATACACCGAAAATGTGTTCAGGAATCAAAATGTTTGTTGGTCCAGTGTTTATAAATGTATCTCATATCTCAACTCTGGCATAAATCAGTTTTTGTAATAAACATTTAAGACAAGGTACACCTATGATCCTCTTATGATAAAGCACGCTGGATCTTCTAATAACAAAGCCCAGGAATGGTTTTGCTGTTTACTGCCTCAACTACCAAACAGGACAGGTACCATCTCTGCTAGTAGGAATGGAAGGGATTGTCACACTTCCTACTAATTAAATGTCCTACTGTGTATATGAGTAATCTGATCCTGCAATTCAGGTCACTACATAACATAGTTTGTCACATCAATCAGTCTTATGGAACCTGGACTGCTAGGACATACTAGGGTTGATTTACTAAAGCTGAAGAGTGCAAAATCTGATGCACCTGTGCATGGTAGCCAATCAGCTTCTATCTTCAGCTTGTCCAATTAAGCTTTGACAAAACAAAAACCTGGAAGCTGATTGGTTTCTTTGCAGAGCAGCATCAGATTTTGCACTCTTCAGTTTTAGTAAATCAACCCCAACAATTCCTTCTGGTGATTTTCAAAACTGCATATACAGAGACATGATGAAGTAAAACAAATATATTGCTGAACATAAAGGTTTTTCAAAGTTAGTCATTTTATAGGTATACAACGAATGGACTAAAGTATGATGCTTCATCACAATGCCTTCTATGGCTTTTCTTGAATGGGCATAGAGGTCAGGTGGCTTGGACCATAATGGAAAGTTACCAGTTCAAAGTGCAGTTACCATCACAGCACAGGTCTGAGGTACAATCACCAACATGTACTGCTGTCCTGACCAGGGGCGGACTGACCATTTGGAAACTTGGGCACTGCCCGAGGGCCCAGGGTCAGTAGGGGGCCCCATGAGATGCCCCTGGTACCTTTTTCATAGGCTTTTTTGAGCTTGGGCAAGGACACAGGGGCCCCATGATCCCCTATTGCCCGGGGGCCCCATGAGTGTCAGTCCGCCCCTGGTCCTGACAATAAAAAAAGAAAATGGCAGCCA